GGAGTAGATAATAGAAGATCTTCTATTATCTACTCCTGATATTATAATATAATTGTATTCATAGTAGTAACCAGGCATCCTTACTTCGCCTGTTATACGTCATCTGGTGGCACCACCTCTTGGCGGGGAACATAACAATATTAGGGCAAAAAGTTCCATATATATTTTCGATGAAAGTAGGTTTAAATTATTCCACAAAACACAGCTTCAAATCTATTAACTAGAAATATTTCTTCTAGACGTATTTTGATGATCGTCCATATAACCAACTGTAATGATGATCGTTGTCTATACGTGTCCGATTGCTAATGTATGTGTATTTGTTGCAGTCGGAGGCGACGCCGCAGTACTTTAACAACACTGTGGTGATCATGAATGAGGCGGAGTGGGGTCTACTGGGCATGATGGATAGCACGTACACGGTCTCATGCAGAATCGGCGGCTCCAGCGTGCAGCGATTCGACTACGGGTTCACCGTGCCGTACGTATGGCTCAGCTTTACACACACCCGCACGCACGCCCGCACGCACACATGCACACACGCCCACACGCACACATGCACGCACGCCCGCACGCACACATGCACGCACGCCCGCACACACACATGGTCTCGGCTAACATTTGTTTTAATGTTAACAAAACTAAACAACCAAACAAAACTCTTTGTTATCCTGACCACCATACAATAATTGTATATTATCAAGAGCTAATAATAAATAATGTGCATGTGTGTGTTTATATCTATATATATAGATAGATATAAACACACACACATATCACTTTCTGGTGAGTAATATATGAGGTCTGCTAAATTCAGCTCTTAATAACTAATCTACGAATAAAAAAATATGGCTGTATACATGTATTAATCGTGAATATATACGTTGCAGTATGTTGACTACGGCCGGGTCACTGGTCATCACCAGTAGTCCGGCCACATGCTCGATGCGTGTGGTCACCGGACAGGACCCGCGAGCGCGGCCCACCACCTTGCTCTTCCTTGGTGACATCGCCTCTCTCGTCTTTGTGCTCGACGACAACAGTGAGTGTCACCATGTCGCGGCGACTGCCGCATGCCTGTCGCAGTAACTGTCGCATGCCTGTCGCAGTAACTCTTGCGTGTCTGTCACAGCAACTGTCGCATGTCTGTCGCAGTAACTGTCGCATGTTTGTCGCAGTAACTGTCGCATGTCTGTCGCAGTAACTGTCACATGTTTAGTTGCAGTAACTGCTATATGTTTGTCGCGATAACTGTCGCATGTGTGTCGCGTCGCAGGTCACAGCGCCGAGTTATAAGTGCGGAGAGTCATAGCTTGTTAGCTGTTCTCTCTATCAGAGGTTGCAGACGCACGCATTTCAGATCTGACATAGACCGTATATGTGTGGAGACCCGTGAATAACAAAGTAATATACATAATACGTGATATACGTAATACGTAATATACATAATACGTAATATGCATAATACATAATATACATAATACGTAATATACATAATACGTAATATGCATAATACGTAATATACATAATACGTAATATGCATAATACGTAATATATACGTAATATACACACATGAACCGTGGTTATATTATGTCACCCTCTCTCTCTCTCGTGCAGGACAATACGACATGTTCGTGTCCGATTGTCGCGTCTCGGACGGCACCAGTAGAGACATGTTGACCTTGATCGACTCTGACGGATGTCCGGCACACAGGAAGCTCATCGGCTTCACCAACTACAACACAGCGATGGTGCGCGGCCAGACTTACGCCTACGCTCACTTCAAGGTGTTCAAGTTCCCGGACAGAGACAACGTGTTCGTGCAGTGCAAGTGCCACGTGTGCCTCGACAGCTGTAACCGGGTGAGTAGTGGGTAGATTCACACGCGCACGCGCACGCACACCAGCACGCGCACGCACACCAGCACGCGCACGCACACGCTCAAGCTTGCGACGAAATCGGAGGTTTAGGGAAAGAAGCAATTGCGAGTTTTGCAGGCTTATGTAGTCAGTCACGGCAGTTAGTTACGGTAGTTAGTCAGAAACATCAGGAGTTAGCCACGGAACCCTAGAAAGTCAGACTTCTTAAGTAGTTTGAGGTCGTAGATGTGTACCGTATATATGTCAGTACCTGTACAGAGAACTGGCTCTCTGTTTTCCCATCGCTAGTTGTTTACGAATAAACTCATCTATACAACTTACAAGATATCTATACTGTGTTATATTGTTATAATATATATATACAAGTATATATATATATAGTATAGCATAGCATAACATATAGCAGGGCAGAGCATGGTATATAGTATACATATAGTATTGTATTTTCTCATAATGTGTGTATGAATGCGCCCGAGGTTAGTCAGCCTGTAATAATATCGGATGAGACCACAGATAGAGTTGCTTGCTGAGCGTGTGATTTATGAATGTCTGTGTTTTAGCCTGCTTGCGAGACTGGCGCTGGCATCGGAAACTCCAAGGTCTTCCGTAAGAAACGTGACATGGGCGTGAATGACGTCATCGTTGACTACGACGCAGGGGAACCGCAGATCGTGTCAGATAAGAAGAATACTACTGTCGACCTCTATCGGCAAATTACGATTGCAATTCCGAATAAGCAACATATCGGTTCGTAAATATTTCGGCATTCCTGCGCGCGCTCTCTCTCTCTCTCTCTTCTCTCTCTCTCTCTCTCCTCTCTCTCTCTCTCTCTGTGTGTGTGTGTCGTGTGGCTTTTGTGTGTGTGTGTGTGTGTGTGGTGTGTGTGTGGCTGTGTGCTGTGGTCGTGTGTGTGCTGCTGTGTCGTGCGTGCGTGCGTGTGTGTGCGTATGTGTGTCGGTATGCATGTTTATAGATTTATCCCAGTTAGTTTTACTTTTAGCTTACAATACGAGTCAATAATTTATCTCAGACTGCGTAAATACAGTATTATGGAACACTATACTCTAACGTGAACGTCAATGACGTATCAAAGCTCAGACTGCAAGGCAAAAGCGATTATCTCATGGCACAAAATTCAAACCTGTTGAAATCAACCAACACCAGTAACTGCGCCGCCACCAGATGTCAGCACTAATCGATAATCCAAACTGGAAACAGTGTCGTACATACGCTCTCTGTGACTTAAATAAATAAATATTCTAAATAAACCTAGATGAAATAATGTGACCCATCCTCTTGTTGGGTTACATTATTGTATATCTATCTGTGACTCAACCTTTTATTCGCTGTTTAATACAGAGAGCTCGCATCTCGAATCGTCATCGGAGACCGGTCGTCTGCCAGATCTAGAGCCGCCGATTCGCGCCAACAGCCCGCAGAGACTTCGCACGTGCAATTCACACTCACGTATCCTCGTAATCGTCGTCATTGCCCTCGCGCTGCTGCTGCTGCTCTTCATGACTCTAACAGCGCTGTTCTTCCACAAATCTCGCCACCAGACGGCGCGGCAGTCGGACCAGATGACGACCAGTTCGATGTATTCGAACACCAAGCTCGTTCCCATACGTTAGATTTGTTTTTATGATCCATCCTCTCATCACGCTCACGGCTACTTCGAGAGTTATCCAGATGAGAGACCGGATACCAGAGAGCATCAAAACTCGGTGCCAAAACGCGTCGTTTAAGTTTCATACTGTATGATATCCGTTGGTTTGGGAGACGTTTAATAGAGGAGTAAATATATCACGTGTATCTAAAACGTTGGTGTCTTTCTGTGTGTGACGCTTATATTGCTGGTTTGCTGTATTATAGACAAAGCGCTGGGTCATATGATATTGTTAAACATTTACCGCTTGATGAATGTTTTGCTTCTATTTATAAACATTGTTGTAAATTAAGGAGAATAAATAAATTCCCATGTTATTAAATATCACTGTCGTTTTGTCTTATCTCGGATTTCCTAGGTTAATAATATTCGTATTCAATTTTTTTATAATCATCTGCACGTTTGAAAAAGACATCTCTTCGCAGATAGTTATTATTGAATAGCTAATTAATTCTTTCATGTGTGCCGTGGGTCTAATTCTCTTGGCATACGATGAAGAAATGATCATATATAGCCATCCTATATTACACGATGTACATAGAGATATCTCATATACATATATACATAGATATCTCATATACATATATACATAGATATCTCTAGATATATCATATACATATATACATAGATATCTGATATCTGATATCATATCTGATATCTCTAGAAGAGACGTTGTGAGAAAAAACGTAAATGAAATAACACCACCTTGTGGAAATTAATTGCACCACTAGAGAGCAGATAGATATTGGTGACACAAAATGATCTTTCGACTACACGTACAAACACGCACATGCCAAAAGTAAAGCTTGCCACTAGTGTGAAACTATAAGTGTGTAGGAAGTATATAGTAGTAAAATAAAATAAAATTAGTCTTCAAACAATTAAAGGGAATAATATTAATGTGGGGGGAACGTTCAGTAAACGTTTGGCGTTCACGAGGTGCGGCTGGTTAGCGATGAACACAACAAACAACAGCACGCCTACGTGCAAACACTCACCTAACGTCCACTCCTCACCTTCCCTACTGCAGACCGGAATATCGCACTGATCCCGGATCGATATACTGAATCCGTCCAAGAAGTTCCGGTCTGTCGGAATCCCTATACCGGAACTCGGGTTCATGCCGGAATATCCATTCGCCGGATATCCGGGACCGCTTTTCCCGCGCTCCGGGTTCTTCAGTATGAACAAAGAGGCGCCTGTGTTTGCGGTCGGTAGCGTGGAGATGCTAGCTCTGTGTTCGATATTCGACGCATAGACGGCGCATGCGCGACACGGGGCCGACGTAACGGGCCGACGTGAACTCTGATAGTTTTTACGAAGAACGCGACGTTACATCGATTTATACGATACAATAATCAATGATTAATTGCTGATGGCAAACAAATGTTTTAATGTAGCATGTAACGTGGCGAGAAAATCATGTTTAACGATCAGTTACATGCGGTATAGAGTAGTAAGGATGTTGTGACGTAGCCACGGTATCGTCGTCAGTATATCTTGCAACTCCGCAGAATATTACCGACGTAAAAGTTGATATGTTCACCGAGCAAATGTGAATATTTACAACTAAGGCGAGAAATTACTCTGCGATAACGAAGTTTAGTAATCTGTTTTAGAGAGTAATAAAGTGGAAAAAAAGTTTCTGCGAATCGATGATTGTATTATTATTCGCTCTCGGTCTTTCTCTCGCTTATAACCGGTATATGGAGTTTTTAACTGCTGTCTCGCTAAACCATATTTGATTTATTATCTCGAGGTTAAGTAAACACAATTTATTACGCAACGAACTCGGCGAATATGATATACACGCCCAGGGGCAATTCACCACGAAAGGTGCGGGGGCGTTGCCTGCTACAAGTATAACCACCCCCTCGTGGCGCAGGTGGGCAGCATCTAATGACCTCGAGTGTCAGCTAGTTCGTTAATCACCGAGCGGTTGCCGGTAAACTGTGTCGTTTCGCTCGATACGTACCAAATGCGGTCGTCTTTACCGCCGAGAGGTCAACCGGCCGCCGGGCGCGCAAGCTTTACCGATGAATATTCGTGATTGTGAACGGTGTGTGATTAAACGATGGCACGCGAGTCCTGGTGGGACAAGGCGCGGGCCGGGTACATGGTACGCAGGACCCAGGATATGATATATGCGGGTCTGGGGCACGGAACGGGTGGCCTGGTAACTTGTAACTTATATACCGTTACAAGGGCGATATCTAACCGTACTTTGTTGACGTCACCGCGCCCGCAAAATAACGGAAACGGAACAAGGAAAAGGGAGGAAATTTTAAATAATGCAGAACTTGTTGCTTTCATCGTGAATATGAATATAAACGTCTAGTTATGATTAATTACACGTTTGATCAATGGCTACGTGATGAAGAATCCAGAACAAGATACGACCAAAGCTATTGCCGTACGTGTTATCGATTTCTTTACCGATTGATTATCTTCAGACATCCAGGTCGCGTGTGACCTCCAGAGGCGTTTAATAAGCGTCACGGCAGATTTCGAAGGCGGTTTCCGTGGTTACCTGTACGCTAAGGGATTCTACGACGCGCAGGAATGCAGGACGCTCGGAAGCGGAAGACGAAGCATGACGCTGGTGCTGCCACTCGACGGATGCGGGACTTCGACGAACGACATTCGCGTATGTATTAGTGTGTTTGAACGAATCGGCAGAATATGTGGCGCTGAATCTATAGCGCATAAATGGGGTTTATATATAAATGAATATATGTGTTTTGCGGCAAAGATTTCTTCTCGAATATAATATTGTACATGTATTATTTAGAAAACTCTGTGATGTCTCATTACTACTATTTAATACAATTATATT